TACCGATTCCTCGTAAAACACACACGTTCCCTGAAAACTCAACTCAAAGGATCTTTCATCTCCTACCTCCCTCACCCGAACGACGTTGCTCACTGTTTTCTCTATTTTTTTATTTTATTTTTTTTCCATCCATCTCTCCAGAAAATTTAGTTTCTCTCGCATTTCCATTATTTCACTTTCAACAAAAGAATAAATTCCGGCGACCGGACGCCGGAAGCGCGGGATACCGGAAATGGAAGGAGGTAGGGTGGGTTTTTGGGTGCTGCAGCCGCTTCGACAACCCGACGCACAGCAAGTGGGGTAGTGTTGTTGCGTGATTGACGTATTCCTCATCAGTATTCCGGCCTCGTGATTGGACAGACGGAGCTGTCAATCAAAAAACTTTGTACTCCACCCCCATTTCCCGGCGAGCCTCCACCTCTCTCCACCGCCATCCCTTTTTCCCCGCCGCTCCAAAACCCGAAACATCCCCCCGCGCTCGACCGACCGCCCACGAGCCACCCACCCACCGCCGCCGCCGCGCGTTTCCATCCACCACATGTATTGGAATATTTTTATTTCCAAACCTCCTCCACCTCCTACTATGCACAACCCGCCACCCCCACGCGCCATTCGCTTTTTAATACCTCGCCACCGCGTATATTAAAATTAAATGGAAATGCGCGCTCCTCCGAAGGGTGGAAAATTCAATTCACATTTTAAACGATTTTTAAAACCAGTTTAAGTAACTGATGGAAAAGGCAGAAGGGAATTTGCCCGCAGCAGTCTCTCCTCTCCTCTCATTTCACCGGGCTTTCCTTCTTCTACTTCCTCCCCCTTCCCTTCATTTTTTTGGCTCTGTTATTTACCCCGCGTTTCCATTTTTTTTACTCTCTCTCTCATCCCCCAGCACTCTAAATCGATAATTTTTAAATGATTCCATTTTAATTTTTCATCCCTCCAACTTCCAGCGATACAGGAATTACGACAGAATCAATATTGAAATAATTTCGTACACGATTTACCGACCACACCAATTTTCTTTATTTACTCAATTTCACCAATCATTTAAACCTATATAGTAACAATATTTATTAACAAATCACTACTTGATACTTACTATACTTCATATCAAATAAATCGTAATGTTCAACTATCAAAACTACCATTTCTACTAATATTGAACAACTTAACAAATTTCATATCAAGTGAATCATAACGTTCATCTTTCAAAACTTGCATTACTACTAATATATACAACTTAATTCAAACGAACATGCACAAATTACTACTTGATACTTACCAAATTTCATATCAAGTACAACTTAAAATGTACATATACTTGTTTCATTCTCTATTTAATCAATTTCCTTTATGATTGGAAGCTTCAAAGTAACAATTTTATTTAACAAATTGCTACTTGATACTTTCCAAGTTACATATCAAGTAAACTATGGGGTGCTGTATTCGGAAAGTTAAATTAATTGCACTTCTAGTAATATTTATTAAAAAGTAATTGTATTAAACTTTACTTACAAATTAATATGAAATATTTGTTACTTGACAAGTATGACAAAACTGTTCACACATATTAATGTATGTATGAAAATAATCAATTTTGATTGTCAATTGTAATACTAAATTGAAAAAATTATTAATGTTTCATGTAACAATTTCTAAAAATAAAAGTTTGTCATAAAAAAAAATTAGACAGAAATACTTTAGTCAAACACTTGTAAAATTACTAAATTCAATAATGTTCTAAACTAATGTGTTTCAATAAGTCTATTAAATCATGTATTTAATTCTTAAATTATCTCTAGTATTCATTCTGTAATATAAAGATTACTACAATATTTATGAGTATATTAATAAAGTATTGATTTTTTTTTAAATCTTGTAAGTGATAAGTTTACATGTAAAGTATTAAGTGGTTATCATAACATAAAATTATAAATAGGCCGACGTCGGCGTCCCAGTCCTCTCAAGCTGATCCTCGTCCTCTCATCCTCCTCATCCTTGTCCTCTCCTCCTCATCGGCGTCGTCGTTGTCGTCCTCATCGTCGTAAATTATATTGTGGAGGCGAAGTGAATGTTTGTGTGTGGCATAATCAATGTCAAACTCTGTCATCAGCTGATCCCATCCCTCTTCCTGCAAGTGTTTGCTTCTCGTCATATCATATTCACCGCCCTAATATGCTCGCTCCAAACTTAACTACCCTCCATATCACATAACGGCTGCCCATTTTTTATTTAAACATCGCACACACACACACACCCTCTCTCTGTTTCCCCCCCTCGAGGGACTGTTTCAGGCATTTACTGATGTATTTAGAACTCACTTCTTCATTCTTGTGCACTTCTTCCCTACACTTTCTTCTCAATAACACACTTCAAACACTCTTAGATTTTCCTTTTATTTTCTTAATAATTATAACTATATTTGTTGCAAAAAAATATACAATTTCATAAATAATTGAAAAATTATACGTTTTTCTATCCCTTTGCTAATAAATTAGATTTTAACAAGAAAACAAAGGATAATTTTTTCATTACTTTCATTGACAAATTACAACAATATCTCTCATAATCAGGCTTCTATCACTATGGTCCGGTTTGAAAAGTTTAAAACAAACTAAATTTTATTTGAGCTAAATTAAATTCTAAAAAAGTAGTACACAAATTTTTTTTTTATACATAATGATCGTTTTTATATTCATTACACAGTCAAGTCCTATTTTTTTTGTATATATTTACTTCTGGTTTCAAATAGTTCGGGATATTAACGGAACCGGACTATGCAAAGTAATTTCTGCAGTTTTTATTTGAGGTCAATTTTAGTAAGAAAAGAAGGGATACATTTTTCACTTTTACTCATTGACAAAGTTCAACAAAATCTCTCATAATCCGGCTTCTGTCAGTGCGGATTCACTATAGTCCGGTTTGAAAATTTTCAAACACACTAAATTTTATTTGAGCTAAATAAAAATGATCGTTTTTATATTAATTACATAGTCAAGTCTTATTTTGTGTATGAATTTATTAGTTATTTCAAACAGTCCGGGATATTGATGAAATCGGACTATGCGAAGTAATTGCAGCAGTTTTTACTTTAGGCCAATTTTAGTACGAAAGGAAAAGATAAATCTTTCAATTTTACTCATTGACAAAGTACAAAAATATCTCGCATAATCCGACTTCTATCAGTGCGGATTCACTATAATCCGGTTTGAAAATTTTCAAACGAAATTTTATTTGAGCTAAATAAAAAATTGTCGTTTTTGTATTAATTACACAGTCTAGTCTTATTTTGTGTATAAATTTAGTAGTTATTTCAAACAGTCTGGGATATTAACGGAACCGGACTATGCGAGGTAATTGCAGCAGTTTTTATTTGATGGCAATTTTAGAAGAAAGGAAAGGATAAATCTTTCACTTTTACTCATTGATAAAGTACAAAAATATCTCGCATAATCTGGCTTTTATCAGTGCGGATTCACTATAGTCCGGAACCGGACTATGCAAGATAATTTATGTAGTTTTTAATTGAGACCAATTTTAGTGAGGAAAGAAAGAATACATTTTTCACTTTTACTCATTGACAAAGTACAACAATATCTCACATAATCCGACTTCCATCAGTGCGGATTCACTATAGTCCGGTTTCAAACAAACAAAATTTTATTTGAGCTAAATATGATCGTTTTTATATTAATTACACAGTCAAGTCTTATTTTGTGTATGAATTTAGTAGTTATTTCAAACAGTCCGGGATATTGACGAAACCGGACTATGCGAGTTAATTACTGTAGTTTTTATTTGAGACCAATTTTAGTAAGAATATAAAACTATTTTGTGTATAAATTTCGTTATTGTTTCAAACAGTCCGGTATATTAACGGAACAGGACAATGCGAGGTAATTGCTGTAAACTCAATTCATCATCGTTAACGATATTTCGAATAGTAAATACCAGATTTTTGTATGTGAACAATCAATAGTCTTTGATGGATATGCGGCGATATCGAAATCCAACCCTGACATATATGTACTTTTTTTATTATTATATGGGTCGTAAAGTATTTTATGTTTGTGTTTTGGTTACTCAATAAACACATCTTCTATCCCTTATTTTATGAAATACATATACACTTATATACACATAAATATTATACTACGCTAGAATACAAACATTGCAAATAAAATATTACACAAACTCAATTGATACTTAAGTATCATCAGTTCTATAAATACTTTTATAAAAATATACAAATAACTGAAAATATTAACAGATAAATGTTTCAAATATTAGAAATTATTCATCTTTGACCACAAAAAACACATTTTACTCTGTAATTCATGAAAAGTACCAATTACATATACATCTATCTCTCGTTTTACACAGTTCTTTCTTTGCACGTTTTTGCTTTTATTTGGTTTAAAACAATTTAAAATTAAAAAATAAATATAGAAAATAATCTGTCACTCGTTTTACACGGTATATTTTTACACGTTTTCGCTTTTACACAGCCTAAAACAAATTTAAATTAAAAAATAAATATAGAAAATAACCTATCATTCCTTATACATGGTACTTTTTTTACACGTTTTTACACAACTTAAAATAAATTTAAACTAAAACTAACTATAGAAAATAAACCATAGCTCATTTTACACGATATTTTTTTACAAGTTTTCGCTTGTACACAGCTTAAAACAAATTTAATTTAAAAATGAATTTAAAAAATAACCTGTCTCTTGTTTTACACGGTACTTTTACACGTACTTTTTTACACGTTTTCGCTTTAACTGAGTTTAAAACAAATTAAATTAAAATTAAATGTTGAAAACAACCTAACACGATTCTACACGTTTTTCTATTTACTGTCTAAATCTTCAATGCTCATTATCCTATCTATAAATTCAATGCATAAACTGAAAATTAAGTAGTATTTTTTCTCTTAATATTTATTTTTTTTATTTTTATTTTTATTTCTATTTTTTTTTACTTTCTCGTTTCAGATAAACGAAGTACAAGAAATAGAAGAAGTAATGCTTTGATCTCAAACATCCACAAGTATTTTTGTCAAATTTGATAAGTAATAAAATTTATTTATATTCTTCTTTTAGAGCTTTCATTCTTATAATCAATAAATTATTATTTATTGATTTATTGAAGAAAACATTTACAAGTATTCCTTCTAAGCTTAAATATTTGGTACTCTTTATTAACAATATTAGAACAAATTATTAATATTAGTCTAATAATCTAAACACAGACGAAGTAATACCTAGTATAGTACGGATCATTGACAATATCCCGCACTGTTTGAAATCGGATTAATCGAAGCCTTTAAAAGCGTATAAATAAAATACATGACAATAAATGAGAAGAAAAAAACAATATTTTATAAATAGAAAATAATTGTGTACTAATTCTTATAATTTGTTTTTATTTAATTAATTAGAATTGATCGAAACCGCACTATGCGAGGTATTTCTTTATAAGAAATGCAAGAAATGATAGAACAAATATCGTCAACCCATTCAAAACTATATTGTTTGTTCAGATTTATAAAAGATTCCTTCTAATTAACATCTTTGAAAAGTTTGAAACATTATTTTATTTAACTGATAATCTTAAATTAAATGATTCATTTTTATAATATTTATTGATTGATTATTTTGTATATTTTTCAACTTTTTAATGTATTTTTTTTTATTATTGAAAATATTTTTATATCTATTTACAAAATAAATGCTGATGAACTTGTATTAAAATAATTGTACGAGATGTACTTAAATTAAGTCGAGTTTTTAATACTGCTATATATATTTTTCATAAATGGTGTCCCAAAAAGAACTGACATTTTAAATTTGTCCCCATTTTTTTCGTGGTAAAACCAGAGCAGAGATTTTTATATGCTGTCATTAGTAAACATTGAGGTTAAGTTATCGAAAAGTGGACCTAACTTCTTCGAAAATGAAAATGTCATTACTGTCAATGGAATTTGATATTGTGAGATGATTTTAAACTTTTTATAACCTAAAATTAATTATATGGATGTGTAAGTCATGTACTAATGAAACCATGCAGTTATTGCAAGAAAAATGCAATGATCGTGTTATCCGCCAAGATCATGTGACTTGACAACGTTAGACTTCTTTTTTGTCTATCTTAAGGATAGAGTGTACATCAATAACCACAAACCACTGAGGATCTGAAACATGAAATTTGACACAACATTGCCAAAATTTCCAAAGAATTATATCTAAATATAAGGAAAATTTCATCAAAAGAGTGAACATATGCTGCCAAGGCAAGGGCGATCATTTGTCAGATGTTTTGTGTCACGTATAACCTCAATATCTCTACTTTGTAATACAGCAAAAATATTATCAATTATCAAATAAAAAATGTGTTTTATTAAAAAATTAAAATATCAGTTCATTTTGGGACAACTTCATAAGTGCGTATATTTTATAAAACTTGTTAAAACAAGACGATTTCAATTATGTGATCTAATTAATCGACTTTTATAAATTACATTTGATGTTGTTTGTACCATAAAATTAATAATATTTCAAGTAATAATTGCATACATTTTCGTTGTGAATTACGTTGGAATGCGCGCATCTTGTTTACGAAACTCGCATGCGCTTTTATTTATGTGACTACACATCAATTGCCCTATAATTGAATTTGCTCAAAGCGGAATATGCAAATTGCGTCATGCAAGGATCACATTTGGCTGCTAAAGTTATTTATTCTGCGCCTGCCGCTATTACATCGTACAAATAATAATAATAACACGTCTTTTTCCTTCGCGTTTTACTTACAACAAAAATAATAATAAAAACGCATATAAATTAAAGAATTATTTGTTTGTAACAATGGTGCTGCGGCATTATTATCCTTGCAAGATCTGCAATTAAATGGAAATAATTATTATTACCGGGCAATTTGTTAAATTTACTGCAGATAAAAATCCGAAGCGTATTTCGAAAGGATTACAAAAAAAAATATAATATGAAACGTTGAATAGAAATAATGCGCGGAGAAAAAGGAAACAGAAAAAAGTTTCGTCGTCGGTTTCCGGATCACTCAACGACTAGAGGAGACGTATTGTTTTCTTAAGACACGGCCTGAGATTTATTTTCGGATTTTGGCGAAAGAAAATATATATGTATAAATACGATTCGAAATATGTTTATTAATATGTTCTGGGATGTATTTTAAAATGAATGTTTTCGTACTGTTTTGATGAATATTTAACATTTAAAAAAGTCAAAATGTTATATAAAAAGGTTAAATTTGTATACTAATAAAGTAAATAATTTATATATCAATATTATTTAGTATAAGACAAGTAATTGAAGCAAAGAAATGTATTAATTCGAATATTTTATATGAAATATGATTTTATACCAAAGAAATGTCAATATTTAATTTAAAATATTGAAAACAATGATTAAAAATCAACAAAACTTTATAGTTGTGTGAATTTTGCTAATTTCATATGTATTTATTTGTTTATTGGTTTTGGGCTTAAATTGGTTTTGAATTTAAATAGTCTGTCATACACGATACTTGCCAAGTATTTGTATTATATAGTGTAACTACTTTCATAAGTACTTGTTTATTGATTGTGGAAGTTTTTCTGAAACAGTCTGTCGACTTGTATACATACGTGATATGTCTCAAGTACTTGTATTATGTAGTAGGCTTTTTCATAAAATAATTATGGAGGTGTAAACATTTGGAATTAAAAATTTCTCTTCATTAATTGGATTAATTTTTACATTAATTGATTCTCAAAGTTACTTAGATGCAAATAATGTTTCATAATTATTTTAATTTATATGATTAACACAATTTTAATACTCCATAAAATTAGATGATCGATATTACATTACTGTCATATAACATTTCACGTAACCTCAATAGTTAACAAATGGTGAAACAAAATGGTAACGCTTCTTTTATGACAACCTGAACAAATACAAAACACTGCATCCATACTATTCGTGATGTGAAACATTCCTATCACTCGTACCAACTTCTGTTAGTTATCATAAACTTCGATTAACAGTTAACTGCAATTGATACTATACGTACATCATACTAAGATTTATATAACTTATAGCATGTATGCAACACAATATTTACAAATGCTATAATCAAATTCAATGACATTCAGAAAAAGTTATGCAATATCTCTCAATTGCTACAATGGATACATCATACTAACAAACATTTATGATATTATAGGATGGCTGCAAAATAATATTTACAAATGCTATACATCAAATTCAATGACAGTCAGAAAGAGGTTATGCAATATCTGTCAATTGCTACTATGGTTACGTCGTACTAACTAACATATATGTTACTTGTAGTATGGATATAACATGTTGTACATCAAATTGAATGACATTTACAAAGAGGTTACGCAATATCTGTCAAGTAACTTAACAAGTAAAATTATATATTAATCAATTTGACTTTAAGTAAATACGCACACAGCAATACTTTCCAAGTAAGAAGTTATTACTTAGCAACTATTGAGATCTACATGGATTATAATAATAAAGAATGAATATATTACTTACAATAACATATACTATATTATTGATGCTTTGATATTTGCTTTTGCATTGGTGGAAACTCAACTCTTCGAATATGGCGAATATCAAACCCCCTATCTGTCTGTATATTTGCATGTGTGTCTGAGCGATCCAAAATGTATTTGGGATGAGGATGAGGGGCGGCAGAGAATGAGGGATTCGAGAGCAGGAAAGTTCTGTGCGGGAGAGACAGTGAGGCGTTATTAAATTTCACCTGGTGACACATGTTGACGTACTTTGTCACCTAGGAAACGGATGGGTGGAGAGATGCGGAAGTTATATATATATACTTTATGCGGAGAAATCGCAGCAAGTACTGAAGTTTGGCATTCTTTCTTATTTTCGCAGAGAACGGCTTGCCACGGAGATTGCGGACTGCATACACTAACACCCAATTGCTCGAGCTGGAGAAGGAGTTCCATTTCAACAAATACCTTTGCAGGCCGAGGCGGATCGAGATTGCAGCGTCCCTAGATTTAACAGAAAGACAGGTAAATTGATTAATTGATTGGGTTGCGAATTGGGTGCTTATTAATTTTGGTGTTTCAGGTGAAAGTGTGGTTCCAGAATAGAAGGATGAAACATAAAAGGCAGAGCTTGGGGAAGGGCGGAGATGAGGGTGACGATAAGGATTCGGTTACTAGTGAAGGCGGGAAAAGTGGGAAGATCTCGGATAAGTTCCTGGACGATGAGATGGCTAAGAAGAGCTGTCAGGGATGCGAGATGCCGACTGCGGGATTGTGCGGGACGCAGCACGAGGATGTTCCTGATATCGGGGCGAATAGGGGGAACAACAATAATACGCCGAGCGCAACCAATAATAATACTAGCTTCAACAACAATAGTAACGGGGCTAGTTCGGTGGCGAGCTCCGGGTCTTTTGATAAGATGATCGAGGAGGATTCAAGGTCTAACGAGGATAGCGGAGCTGTTAGGATTCCTAAGAAGGTCACGGTGAAGGTGGAGAACAGGAAGAGCTCTCCGAACGTGGATAAAAAGACGGCTTTGAGTAAGACGTCTCCGAAAGATGGTTTGCTGGAGCCGGCGAAGGCCGCGACGAAAGTGTTAGCTCCTGGACACCCGAGTCCTTTAGGTACCAGCATGATTTATCCGCCGTTGCAAAGAGCGTCTCCGACGACGGCAACAGCTATTGCCTCAGCAACTGTTACGATACAGAACGTCCCGAACACCATCCCACCGTTCGCAGCAAGAGGTTCCAACTCCTTCCCAAATCAGTACCAGATGCCGCAGCAGGATTACAGACAATCGCAGCAGAAACCGTACATCCAAACGACCGGTTACAACACCGGAGAAATGCAGTACGACGTTGGAGAAGGACAATCTTACGTTAGGAATCAGGGCAGGATGAACGCCAGGAACAGGCAGAACTACGGCTACCAGAACCAACAGCACTACTACAACTACAACAGCAAGGAGTATCAGATGAACAATCAGAACTACACGCAGGGTTACGAGAACTACAACCATTACGCGTATCCATCGACGGGGATGTATCCCAGCGAGGTTACCGAAGGAATGAACGCTCATCACGGTATGAGCCACGAAGGCTACTACACCAACAACGACAACATGCATTCCATGCACAAGGTGCAGAGCGCCGAGTATCCAGCGAAGGTCGGTTACTACGAGAGCAACAGCTACAACAACTCCTCGGCCACAGAATCGGCAACCTACATGCCCACGGAAATCTATCCTAATGCGAACAACGCTGCTGCTGCTGCAGCCACCGCCGCCATAATGACGCCACCAACAAGTGTGCAGACGGACTCGAGCGACAACTACTCCAACTCCAACTTCCATCAGTTCTATCCCACCGAGCCCAACCAGCAGACCCAGCCGCAGCAACCGCAACCGCAGGGCGACAACAGCAACAGCTCCTCGGACTTCAATTTCCTCAGCAACCTGGCCAACGATTACACCCCCGAATACTATCAAATATGATTCTAGTGCAATCCCCCAAAAATAAAAAAACGAAATCCCCCCAAAAAATAAACAGAACTCCTTGTGATTCATCTAAATATCTAAGTAAAGAAAAAAATAAAATAAACACACTCACGCTCTAACCAAGACACCCTGTATAAATAAGTGATATGATGTAGCTGTAACATATAAAAAAAAACAACTAGACAATCCTTGCTTCTCCTTTGAACTTGCAGTTCAAGTAAAACAAATTAAACAATCGGATTATCACCATCATTATGATTATTTCCACTATTATTAAACATATTTGACTGTACAGTAACTTAGTTCATACTATCATCGTCTCTTGTTTATTATTATTATTATTACTACTATTATTATTATAATTATTATTTCATTTTTAAAAGTTTTGTTACGACTAATTTCTAAGCAAATTTTATATGTGTAAATTATTATTGTAACCGGAAGGCCTCGTCCCAAAAAAAAGAACACGGGTGACGGCTTCAACCGGATGGAAGGATTAGTTTAATGTAAAATGTATTAAATTTAGGGCAGTAGTGATGAAAAAGAACAACTTTAAAAAAAAATAATGAAGAACAACTCGTTGTAAATAATTCTCGCAAATTTCAATGTTTATAATTAATTATATGAAAAACGAACAAAAAAAAACAATATATGTATATTATATGAATATTGAAACCTTGTACAGATCGGAAACACCACATTCGACACACGGATCAGACGTGCAGAGATGGGAGTATAAAGAACACGTACACGGATATAAAAAAAAATGAAAACACTTCACACTTGACACACCCAAACAAACAAAAAAAAATACATACACTCACACGTACACACATTTAGCAATTTGATTCTATGAAAAATATATACGATTTTAGCTTTAGCCTTTTCTGTCTCTGACTCTTTCTCTCTATTTATATTTAGATATATACGTCTCATCTTTATTTCTCTTTAATTCTTACATTTTTCTTTCTTTTTTGTTTTGTTGTATTCGTTTTTCCCCGTTTCTACCGAATTACATATTTATTAAAACAACGCATCGCCCGAATGATGAAACGCTTCGGATACGAGGGGGCGGCGGATGGAAATATACATATTGGAAGTCATAGAATGGGAATATTGGAAATAAGGTGTCTGACATTGATGAATTACCCGGCGAGAGTTGAGTGAGTCATCCTCCAGTAACCCCGCTCGTCATCCGCCGTCGTCCCTGAAACAACCCTCCTCCAACTCCTCTTCCACCACCAACAGAGACCGGTGCAAACACACGCTGAAAAAAAAAATGCTGTAGTGAAATTTCAACAAACTCCCCCGAAATCCACTCAGGAGTACAAACACGGTGTCCTCCTCTCTTCCGTCAGCAATCGAAAGCTGATTGTACAAAAGCGATTATTAATTGATTGCAACAACTGCACTATTCAAATTTGAATTCAATTTAGGCATCTGTGATGACACCTAGTGCCGAAGTACTGAATTCTACGCAAAGCGCCATCTATTGATGGTAAATTTACCTAAACTTCAAGCCAATTATCAGATACCTTTAACACTTATATAATATCTTACAAACTGTAGTATTTGAACTATTATCGTTGCTATCTATGGCGCGAAGATTTTCAAATTCAAACATTGTTGTTATTATTTATAGAATGCTATTGCTCATTTAATTCTCTTTTTTTTCAGTATATTACTGAGATACCTTTCACAAAACTAAATAACTTATAATAATTATACATATAATAATTATTGAAAACCGCTTGTTTTGGAAAACAACAATAGACGATTAAAGACAGGGCCGTCTTAAGAAATTTTACGCCTATGTAATGCGCAACTCAGAAAATACACTTAATGGGCCCTGTGGTAAGAGCGGGTTTTATTACAACAACTATTAGAATCCTCAGAGATTTACAATTGGATTTGGAAATAATTTTCCAATATTTATATAGAATTGCAATTATGTGTAAAAGTAACATCAATTTAATAACAAAATTACTGTCAAAAAATCATTATCATTTAACTTACACATAATTATATATTTAATTAATCAATAATTGTTAAGTTTTGCAAATTTAAGTTTATTACGGTAAGTATATCAAAACTGTGTATTATTTGTAAACATATTCATCTCAATTTCTTCTTGAAAAAAATACAACAGCAAATGAAAATAAAATCTTATGTAAACTATAGAGAAATTACTAGTTTGTACATGAAACTATACACATGTTTGAATTTAATTCAGCATGGTGTTAATGAATTCGACATTTGGCGACACCTTTTACCCAAAAATTGTCAGGGTTTAATTGATTGCCATATTTAAAGAAGAAAATACGTTTTCTGTTAAGGGTTGAAGGTTTCTGACAGTTTCACCTTGCCTGAAGTTTCTTTGTAATACCATTATTAAACATACATACGCATGCTCTTAATATTAGGACAGCGCCACTATGTGTGAACTATATACATGAATTATCTACCAATAGATGACTAGATCTGGTTATGTAACAACCGTAGACACAACTAAGTAGAGATAGTTGCATATAGTTAATATATTATTTTCGTTACCACGCACGTCGCATAAGACGAAATATTTAATGCTGCTCCTCTCATGACAAGTTGCATAAGAAAATATTGAAATAGTTTTTTTTTGTTATAAATAAAAAAATAAACAATTAAAATTTTGTGTCAATTTTATTCTATTGTAAACATTACTATAAATCATTTTTCTGTATTCTTTCGTAGATCGTAAAGTAATTACAGAGATGAAATTAATATGTATTCTTTCTTTTAACATCATATTTTATTAATGATATTGTTCAATATACTTGTATGAAAATTAGTTATCTTCAATTTAGTAACATATAAAAACTAGTTTTATCTCTAAATTGATTCATTACAATCAAGTGACAATCAAGAAACATTTGTTTCTTTCAAAATACTAAATAAACTGTCTACATATATAAGAAAATCAAATATTGAAAATTATGTTTATTTCAACGTTCACAGATGGAGTCACCAACATATTTACTTCCAGTCTATATCGCAAGCCCGACAACCGAAAGACCGTCTATTGAAATCCCGACGTTTGAAATCCCGACTGTATCAAAATCCCGACATTCGAAATCTCGACTGTATTAAAGTCCCGACGCTTGAAATCCCGACTACCATAATCCCGACAATCAAAATCCCGACTGCCATAAAAATGTTATTGTAGAAATGTATAATAATAAAAGACAATGTCGGGATTTCGATATAGTCGGGATTATAGTAATCGGGATTTTGACATGTCGGGATTACAATATAGTCGGGATTTCGGTTGTCTGGCTTGCGATTGCCACCGATGTACTTCTAATCAATCAATTAGCACATTTTAAATAACTTGAAGTATATGGTTAACATTTCAACAATACTTAAGTCATGTATATTTTAGAAAGTCGGGATTTCGATACAGTCGGGATTTTGATAGACTGGATTTCGGTTGTCGGACTTGCAATTGTCACCGATTCACTTCTAATCAATCAATTAACACATTTTAAATAACTTGAAGTAAATAATTAACATTTCAACAATACTTAAGTCATGTATATTTTAGAAAGATGTTTAATAATGTGTCAAATATTACTTATTAATACTAAATCTATCTATTGACAAAAACAATATGATTTTCCTTTTCTGAATTTAAATGAAACTTATTGTCAACCAATGAAACAACAGGATTTTCTTTTTCTGAATTCAAATTTTACGTAGACAAATTTTCATAGTTCTAACCATTAAACACAATTTTGTTGCTGTGATACAATTAGTTTGATCAAAAGGGAAATTGACCTAATTGATTCAAATGAATAAAATAATACAGAAAACTATTCTGTAAACAATGAATATATATTAAATTGTGCAGTATAGAATAATGTTATTCACTATATATAGGAAATATTTGCATATTAGCAATTAGAGTTTATACAAAAACCGACTTTTAAAAATTTTCGAATCTCAACTTTTCTACAAAACTTGTTTTCGAATTTTCACAAAAAAAATATTGCTCATACGGATCTATTGCACAAACAAAATGTACATCGTCTTTAGAGCATCAAATGAAATGAACCAAATTATCTTCATGTTCTTGAAAATATTTAATTGATTTTTTCAATAAAAGTTGTAATTTGTTTTTCTTCTTCGCTTATGTTTCATCATCGCATTCATCATCTATTTAATAATTTGGATACAATCTTGATAATATTTGTCCAAAAACTTAATGGAGCTAGTGAAAGAAATAAGCTAGTTTGTCTAAACGTCTGTGGATTTTCGTAAATTATCTAAAAACCTTACTAAACTAAAACCTTACAATTAATTTCAGTTTGCATTATTTTTTTTCAATTAACGTAGCAGAGACAATTTTGTGTAAACATTCATTAATTTTTTAGTTGGAAAACGCCAGTTTTCTAATTACATATTTTTTCTCTAAAAACCGATTTTCAAAAACAAACAATATTAGTAGAAGGTGATAAATTTTGAAGAATAATTTATTATTTGCATATAATAAATGAAAATAAATATTATTTATAATTCAATAAAACATGTCCACAGTAAACTAATTAACAATAGATGTTTAGATACAAAATCACTGAAATTTATAATAACAAATCTTTTTAATTAGATTTACTATCCTTTCACAATTAAAAGCAACAACCAATGAAGATTAAAAACTTAATCCTTTCACAAAACGCAACATTCCCATAAATCTCACGGCCTGAAACATTACTCAATAACACAAAACCATATTTCGACATAGAACTAACTAACTGCGATTTATTACAACAATCGCTTCAAGTACCTATAATTCCCTATCATCTTTTCAATCAGAGCTTAGTTCTCGCGGGATTATTCCGTATAGTACCGAGAAATCGTACGGTAGCATCGATTAAATCGTCCGTGGGATTAGACGATGTCGTCACGTGGTTTTTATCTGGGATTTCGAATCGTGCCCAGATGATTGAATTGAAAAGTTATTTCTGATGCTGGCCTGGACCAGATGCGTTCCGGATTTTCTTTTGTAATTAGTTTCGTTGCGAGAGTCGGGTCTCATTCAATGTTGGTAATAATGTTATATTGTGTCTGTATATGTATTGAATTATATATATATATGTATATGTGTATGTATACTAAGGGTTGGGGATGTGGGCGGCGGCGGCGTTGGCGGCGATCGTAGCCGGCCCTGACATGCCATGATGGATCGGACTGGGGCCGCTTGCTAAAACCTTTTTACTTAGACTGTGACAACATCTCGCCCTCTCTCTTTCGCCCCTGTATATTGGGAAC